AATGTGAATATTTTTTATCTTCCCACCAGTATTTGTTAACAATACGTTTCTGTCTTTTCGCCGCGTTTATCACTTTATTTTTCTTTGTTTCAAACTGATTTTAATTAATATTCATTTCGCTAAACGTCAACTACCGTTCACGATGTTACTTATCACGTTTACGAAATCAACAAAATATAATCTCAAAACAGCTGAAAAGTAAATTAAAATCAAACAGAATGGACAGTTAAGTACGGATGGACCAATGATTGACTCATTCCTCTCTTTTTCTTTCGATATCAAGCACGTATACACATGCATTCACCTTTGAGAGCTAAATAAACAGATATGGTACACAATACAATATTGCCATTTTTCTCTGCATGATTCGTGTTTAGATTTCTATATCAACCTTTTTCTTCACAATATCTTGTTCAGCACAAGACTGAAGGAAGTTCAGAAGAAATCCGAAAAAGTCGTTGAAAGCGTGTCAGGTTGGTTAATCAGAAGACTCGAAAATTCCGCCCAGAATCTAAATAATTCTTTGTACTTTCTACTTTCTTCTGGTATGCTAGGATAAAAAGGGCAATTCCATTAATGGAAAAAAATCTTGCAAGAAGAAAACAAAGTGCTGCTATAATGGTTGTTGTCAGAGTGTAATATATCGACAGTTTTCAAAAAACCAAAAGGATTTATTCTAAGCCAAACATATTATTATAAACTGGACAGAAATTTCACACCGTTTAACCTTAGAATGAAGGCTTTAAACTATTTGTACGTAGCAAAGGTTAAGATAGAAAAATAGTAGTCTATTTTATCCGATTCACTCGTTATATTATTATCTTTAATAATCGAAAGATTTGGCGAGAGTTTTTGGATGGAGATCTGTATTCGATGATGAGAATCAGTTACCAAAATTACTCGAAGCGTTTGAACATGCAACAACAAAAATGTTGGACAGGTAAATGTTTAATAGATATTTATTTTCGCTATTCATTCTTCTGTAAATGCAACCTATTTTCTCTACTTAGATGGAGTATTTTGGTGCACGAAAAGAAAACAACACATGAAAGACTAGATTTGAAAGAAATGGTGTTTAAAGTACAAGAGTTTATCATATACCATATTGGAAGAATACTTCAGTCAGATAAATCATCAGAGATTATTTTATCTTCAAAGTAAGAAATTAACTGACGCACACACATCCTTTGATTATTAGTTTTTGTTAGAGTTGTAACGAGCGAAATTAATCAATTAATCACTCATTTTAAAGACAATGGAAAACTATCCGATATTGTTTTAACAAAAAAAGTAAAAGAAATTCTAGTTTTTAAATATTGTCACCAAGTATTGATTGTATATTGTAGTGTAAACTGCTTGAACTCAAGTTAGATTCATTTATATCAACATTAAAGCATGGTCTCAAAAATTTTGACAATCTCACGGTATAGTACTATGTAGTCCAGAAGTGGACAAAGCAGGTCTAGAATTAGAGAAAGTTCTACAGGACAAAAAGTAGGACGTAAAAATTAACTGCTCTATATTTCTAAGATAGTCTACGTCGTCTACATTTGAATGTATTTTCAAGATGTTTCAAATCTAGTAGGCTCCATTTGCTCTTTGTGCTCATTTAAGTATTTTGTATTAATTTTAGAAGCAAGATAGTAATCGTAGCTCGGGTTCAACAATTTGTTCGGAAGTCCGAGTAAGTACATATTTCTTACCACTAGCTCAATACATGACAAATGAATTATTTTCAGGTAACCAGAGTTTTATATCGTCGTAAGCAAATTCTTCGTCGTGCTAATAGTTTAAAACGAGCCTTAAAACAAATTTTTGATCTCACACGAAAAGGTAAGCTTTATCAACGGTATATTGTGTAATTCACATAGCATTTTCAAATTCAAATTGATCAAGCGAATAGTATATACAATATGTTCAACTATAAAAGTTAAATCACCATTTTCTCATAAAAAACTGTCTAAGAAGTCAGATACTAATTGAGAGATTTTGTCAACGAAACTTAATAATAAACTGATATTCAAACGAAAGTTATTTTTTTCATAGATATTTCCTTGCGAAGAAGTGTTATTAATCCTACAGTGACACTGCCGTCATCTACAATTCTCAAGCCAACAATAAACAATTCAATATTATCTGAATTAAACGATTATAAACAATCAACTGATGCACCGCCTTTGGCTTTGGAAGAATCCTCTATTGCATCAAGCTCAACTATATCCGTGCGATCGCTATCATGCTCATTGCTGAGAAAAGCAAAAAATTCTGATGAAATGTAATATAGTCAGCGAATCTTAGTTTATTATCGAACTCAATGTTGACTCATTAATTACTTTAGGTGTGTTCTGAATAACTTCCAAACACTCTCTACTATCCAGCAACCGTATATTGCTCAAGATGAAAGTTTGATATCAAAATCAACATTGACTAAACAGCGATCTTGTATTCCGTCAATTAGTATTTCCATTGACAGTCCACAGTCTAGTAACTGCGACGAAACTTCGTTCAATTCATCATCGTCATTATCATCTTGTATTGAAAAATCATTAACTATGAATAATAGTGAAATTGAATCATCGTACGAAAGTTCAGAAGATAGTGGCATACAAAAAAATCCTTCGTCAACAACACATTGTGCACGTTATTCAAGTAACTGAAATATTGTCATTTAACTAAAATTGCAGAATAAAATTTTTTCTACTTTTAGACTATTTATCACCATACCCTTGTAGACCATCACGAACCTATTCGCCTTCAGCTGAATCAAGAACACCATCGCCAAGAATATCAAAAAAATATTCAATTAGTATGTGCGTATAAATTAATATTTTCAATTACTTATTTTTCATAATGCATTTTAGCCTCTGAAAATGGCTTTAACAATCATAAAAGACAATTGAGTTCATTTGCAATTAGTACTCATTCTCGAAGTCGTTCACATTCAAAAGAAAGTGACAGATGTAGCATTGTTTCACGAAGCTCATCAGCATCAAGATTTTTTCTAAGCTTTTCATGTGAGTATGAAAACTTAAGCACTTTTTCTGTATCCTTTAGAACAGTAATTTTTTAGCTTCATCATCAACATCACAAAATGTTATTGGTCAAGCACTATTAGCCTCATCTGATTTATGTGGAGCATTGATTTCTCTGCCGTCGTATGAAAACATACCAATGTAATTTGAATTTTATTTTATAGCAGTTCGATAAATCATTTAATCTATATTTTCTTGATTTTGTTTTATTTAGTGAATATTTCAAGGAAAAAGTTGTTATGAATAATTATTTTGGAATTGGTTTAGATGCTAAAGTTTGCCTCGATTTTCATTTAAAACGAGAAAAGCATCCCGAACAATGTAGAAGTCGATTAAAAAATCAAATGTGGTTTGGATGGATGGGTGGACGTGAATTTTTAAAGCGTTCATGTCAAAATTTAGAAGAGCATGTGATTCTTATTTGTGATGAAATACGAATTCCGTTGAAGAATGTTCATGGTATCTTAATATAGTGTATACATGTGTTTGTTGTGGGCTTTATTTTAGACTAGAGGAGGCAAAAAATTTCTGGCCCAGTCCGATGAGTATTTTTTTAAAAAATTTAAAGGGCCCGACGGATGAAAAAACAACTTTTTTTGACAAGTGGTCGTTTTACTTGTCCTACGATTTTGGCTGCCAGCCAATCCGAGAACTAAATTTGAAAGAAGAAAACACATTTAATCGTGTGTAAAAATGATTTTTCTATCTAAATCATGTAAATTACAATATATACAACTAAGTTTTTCGACAAAAAGTGAAAAATTGGTGACAAACACAAATGTTTGACCACTTGATGGCCGCTTTGCAATACAACTAAGACTTAATCTAATGAGTTAGATACATAGATCAATGCCATTTTTCGTGCTCTTTCCAGATATGATCAAAAATTGAAAAAAAGATGCAGAACATGGTCAAAATTTGAAAGTGCCTCAAAAAGTAGGCAAATTCACCATTAAAAGGCCATTTTAGAATTCTAAGCAATCACAGATAAGCACGGAAAAGTCATATTCGTAATCAGCACGAAAAACTGAATCAAATGACGTGGATTTCAACGCTGTTTGTATCAAGCTGAGAAAGAAGCTATTTCTTGATATCTGTGCTTGCAAAATATGACGTTGAATTTTCGACAAAAGAAAATGTCGTAGAAATATACTGAAAGTTACTCAGTTCAGTTCAGTTTATTCTGGCATAGTTATGGAT